GGGAAAGAGCATGGGGTGGGGGGTAGGTACAGGGACACACAGACAGGGTGTCCCCAAAGACTTAGGGAGCTGGGAGAGACACAGAGATGCTCTCGGGAGAGACACAGAGACACTCTCGGGAAACCCCCAAGGGGGCAGTCTTGGGGCTCAGAGATCCCTATGGGACTCCTCTACAAAGCCCCCCACCACACCCCACGACTTACAGGGGCAGCTGAAAGCTGAACCGGAACTCATGGTGACCAGGGGACAGCGTGATCTTGCTGGTGTCTGCAGGTAGGAGCAGGAGAGGGGGGCTCAGCAGCTATGCCAGGATCCGGGGGTAGCAGGGCCCCACCATCGGGGTGAGACGTGCAACCCATCAGCCCTGCAGGGTTCCCCAGCCTGTACCTGCTCCCAGTAACGTGAAGCAGAGATTCATGATCTCCAAGCGCTCCCAATAGGTCTCCCGGTTGTCAGGGCTCGAACCGACGGCCGACGACTCAGTCCAGTGCACGAGGGCACGGCCCCGCGCCCACAGCTTCAGCGCCTCCACCCGCGCCGAGTCCGCCAGCTCCAGCAGCACTCGTCCCGTCACCATCTGGCCGCTGCTGAACACGGGCTCAGCGCCCATGGCCTCGCAATCCAGCTGCACGGAGAAGACTTTCACTTTGCGGAACATTATCGCGCTCCGGGGTGTGAACGCGCAACGCGGAGACGCTGGCCTCGAACGCGCGACCTGGAGGCGTAAGTTGCAGACGCTACACCCAGAGGACGCAAACTCCTCGCCCAGAGGATTCGCCTCGCAGGTGCGTTCGCTGGGCTCCCCACGACGGTTCCCGGCCCCACCCTCCTCGCCCCGTTTTTTATGTCCGCTGTTACCAGAAGCGCCTGCAGCAAGTCTTGCCTCTTGGCCTCTGGACGCACTGAAACGCCGGCCCACCGACCCCCCCCACACCGAATGTCACATCCTCCAGTTCCCCTGGTGACTTAGCGCTTCCTTTATTTCTTTATGGCTCAGGCCACTTCTTTTTTTAAAAAAAATTTACTGTAGGGGTGTGCCTTTTGCTGGGAAGACACAAACAGAGAATTGAGTAATCACCCTGGGAAGGGGGGGAAGGGCGTGGCCACAGAGAGAGAGAGAGAGAGAGAAAGAAAGGACTCGAACCATGGTCGACCGAGTGGGAGTGTCCAGCACCTTAACAACCATGCCACCCGCTGCTCCCCAATTTAAGAATTATTTAAGGGGTTGGGGACCAGCAGTTGGCGTAATGGCTATGTCCCTGGATTCCCATGTAGTCGACCGTAGTTCATGTCCCGGACCCGGTGGCTTAAAACTCACGCTGGGCACGTGTGCGTGCGTGCCCAAGATCCCGAGAGGAGAATGGAGGAGAAGGGATTGCGGCGTGACCATCCCCCTGGGGGGTGATTTCTCACTTTCCGTCTCTGTCTCTCTCTGTCTGTCTGGCGAGCGCACGTGCCCTATAGCAAAAATCTGTCCAAAGAAAGAAAACTCCATGGAGGTCCCCAGATTGTACAAAGTGTCCCATCCCATCCCTGTCCCTCTCCTGTCCCCGCAGTCACCACAGGTGGGAGCCCAGGAAAAGATAGCAGGGTCCTGGTTTAGTAACCGCGGCCTCTCAGTCACGATCGATCACAAAGCTTACACTCCGGGTAGCAGCGAAGGAGGCCGGTCTGATTGGAAAGGGGGCCTGGGCCGGGGCGCCCTATAGCAAAAAAAAAAAAAAAAAAGGGCTAGACTTCCACAAGGCTAACCATGGTTCAAGTCCCGGACCTGGTGGCTTCCTTTCTCACTTTCTCTCTCTCTCTCTGTGTCTCTCTGTAGTCAAATTGGAAAATAATAATAAATAAAGCTTAAATAAGATATTTTACTAAACTTTATTTATTGATTGATTGTAATTTGACTAGAGAGGGACAGAGTGAAAGAGAGAGAGCAAGGGAGCCGGAGTGTGGCCTCCGGACCAGCAAGCTGAAGCCAAAAACAAGGATTAAGAACTTACAACCATAAGCAACAGGAAGAATCTTTAGCTGTCTTAAACCAGTTGAGAAATATATTATATAGAAGGACTTGCTCTGCCTATGGACAGTGAGAAGATGATGGTTACCAGCCCTGCATTGCCTCAGGGAAGAACAGGAACTACTCTACCATTCTTGGGGAAGCCAGATACCCGAGGATAAGTCACGCTGCAGAACCCCACAACACCATTCCCGCTAATCACAAGATGACTGCTGTGCCGCATCAACTGATGGTCATCTCTGCTTATCAGAACCGCCTTCCTAGAACTGTATTCCACGGAGACCCACCTACAGTTGCGGAACTGCACGAGACCCACCCTGGATCCAACCTCGAATGCAATCTATGTTCCTTATTGCTGAAAACTCTAAACTCGTGGGGAACCAGCAGTTAGCGTCATGGCTATGTCGCTGGATTCCCACGTAGTCGACCACGGTTCATGTCCCGGACCCGGTGGCTTAAAACTCACGCCGGGCGCGTGTGCGTGCGTGCCCAAGATCCCGGAGAGGAGAATGGAGGAGAAGGGATTGCGGCGTGGTCATCCCCCCTGGGGGGTGATTTCTCGCTTTCTGTCTCTATGTCTCTCTCTGTCTGTCTGGCGAGCGCACGCGCCCTACAGTGAAAATCTCTCAAAAAAAAAAAAAAAAACTTTATAAACTCGTGGCCCCTCTCCCTCTCCTAGCAGTCATAGATTACCATCAGCCGATGTTCCTGAGAAGTTTGGAGCTCAAATGAAGACATATCAGTGAGTGCAAGGGGAGCCGATAAGCATCCGTACGATAGAAAATTGAGGCTGTCTTCATTTCCTGCTTCTACTGTCTCCTGGATCTGAACATACATTTCAGACGCTTTGACCTTACGCACATTTGGGATGGAGGCTGCCCATTGTACTGGATTGAGATTCAGGAAGGATCTGAATGGTGCACCTCCCCGAAGAGTGGCAGGTAAGACATAAGTAACGGATGGATAAGGCGTGTGTAGATGAAGGGGTTCAGCATAGGAGAGGATGCCTACACCCTTGTGAATGGCTACCAAATCCTTGGCTGACGGTTTAACGTAGATGAAGATGCAGCTTCCATAGGGGATGGAGACCACAATCAGCTTTATTCACGATCGCTAAGACAAGGAACCAACCCAAATGTTCACAAACAGATGAATGGATCGAACAAGTGTGTCCCATAGACTCTATGGAACGCGACTCAACCATAAAATACAACCAGACGGGAACCAGCAGTTAGCGTCATGGCTATGTCGCTGGACTCCCATGTAGTTGACCA